GATGTTGAGCGCCAAGGAGCTTAGCTTCCGAGCTCGTGAACAGGGTGTACAGTCGGTGCAGATCGAGGTAAAACCGCATTCCCGTAAGAACTGTAGGGTGTTTTTAGCTGCTTGGACCTGAAGGAGGTGAGCGAGGATGAAGTCCTCAAAGGCATGGCGAACGCGAAACACATGAAAAGGGTAGGTGGCGGGCTGTTGCCCACGAGTGCCGTCATTCGTACCATTGCCTGTTGGCCGTCACCAGAGAAGGTGTGAATGCGGTTTACCTTCTTTCCAGTCCATTTCTACTTGCCAGGTCCGGTGCGGTACCTCAAGTGGCATTCGTTCGGCACTCTACAACGACAGGTGTCGGAAGCAGATGGTATGCGGGAAACGTGCAGAAGTCGGGCATGACACAAAGAACTTCGATTCACGCTTCACGAACTGACCCAATTGTGGTGGTCACACAGCGTGGTTTCACACTCGTGGCATCTTCAAAAGGGGGAGTGGAAATTCTAACCATTAAGGTAAAAAGTGGGATCATTCTACCGTGGGGCCGAAAAGAAATACGGCGTTAATGCAAAAAAGCCACCCAGTCCGCCCTTACCAGGACGCGGCCGCTGCTCAGCCGAGGACCCATTCCGTGGCGACGCCGGCAGCTGCTGGCCTGTCAGCAAATTCAACAATGAACGCGTTCCAAAACATGACTGTGGGGGCTTTGCCATCCTCATTACACAGTTCTCCCACTCCCACGATGTGTCTCCGCCCTGTCTCCATGTGGCAAGTGTGGTCTCCACCGCGTGTGGTAACGCAACCCCTACGCCATCGGGTGTGCCGCCAGCGCCTGAGGCGACCCTCCCGGGAGCAGCTTCGGGGCGCGGGGGTCCCGGGAAGAAGCCGGCGCGTCCGGAACCGGGGGCCAAACTGAGGGGAACGGACTGGACACTAGTTCAGCGCGGTCGGGCTGCGCTCCCGTCCCCACAGCGACCGGCGTCCGTTGCACCCGAGCACGCACCAGCCGGACCCCCCCCCCCCCCCCTCCCCCCGTCTGCTGCCGTCGGGGTTAGCTGTGGACATACACCGGCACTTTCCGGGTTGACCGAAGAAGGTTCTGGCCGACTGGTAGCTGGAGCGACCTCTGCAGCTCGTCCAAAAAATCAAACAGGGAAGACAAGTATCGAAGAGTCGGCGCCGACCCACCGACAGCCCCATTTGTTGCACTGGCGGGTGCAAGTCTGCTGGAGCAGCTATCCGTCTGGCTGCCTAAGATGTTGGTGCTTCTGGACGTGCTGCCCGTTCAGAGCGCCGCGACTCGTCCCCTGATGTGAGGCACCTCCACCATCCCTTACGGCTCCGCCACACTCTCCTCGTTTCATGGGCGCTCCCCCGACCCCGGGTCGCCCAGCGAAGCGCGGCCCACCGGGGCCCGTCTCGCCCACGAGTGGCGGCAGTCCGAAGTCCCGACTGATGGTTCAGTCTGGCGAGGACAGAGTCTGCTCGTCATCTGCGGATGACGGTCGACGTCAGAGAGACCTGGCCTTCCCGAGGTCCCGACCGAGGGCGCAGTCTGGTGCGGGCAGAGCTCGCTCGATATCTGTGGATGACGGTCGATGCCAGAGGGGCCTGGCCTTTCCAAGGCCCCCTGCAGCCAGTCGTTTATGATGCACCATGTGGTCCTGTTGGCCATATGCGTCCTTTTCTTTTATCTTTTTGGTGATATGCTGAACTCGTTTTTAAAATGGAACGTCCGTGGACTCCGCGCCGATGTTCTGCGCTTGCAGCGCATGCTGCATGCAAAAAAAACACGTTTGCTGCCTGCATTCAAGTAACTCAGCTGGCCAGGGACACATCTGCTTTGCTCAAAGGTTATGCCTTATACCGAAAAGACGAAATAAATGAAACCAAAGCCCACGTAGGTGTAGCGGTAGCTACACATCACGGTATTCCGTCCAGACCGGTAGCACTACGACCGGACTTGCGTACAGTAGCTGTAGCTGTCTGCCTCACCTCACTCACTATAACGCTCTGTTCATTATACAATCCACCAGCTATAAGCATCTTATCTACTCACCCTTGACTAGTTGGTAACCCAGTTATCTGTACCCTTTCTTCTACTCGGCGACTTCAACAGCCACAATACCGTTTGGGGACGTACTTAGACGGATGACATGAAACGGCGCACTGAACGCTACTTTACACCGACTGATATATTCAGCGATTTATCTATCATTATGCTCACCAGGTTGGATGCCCGGTATTTCATGGTCTGTAGACGAGGACACAGCTGGAAGCGACCACTTACCCATTTGGTTAATGCTGAGTATCGACGTGCAGCTTGGAGTCCGGCTCCGGTGACGGAGTGCGCAGAACGTACACTGGAAAGTTTTCAAGTGTGATATATGCATCACTCCTAAACAGAGGGACAGTGGATCGTCGCTAATCAACAACTTTACCGCTGCGTTAGCTACACTGGCTGATAGCTGTTCACGTCGTACATCCAGCCATCCGCGTAGAATGCCTGTCCCGTGGTAGTCGGCGCAGTGCAAAAATGCTACCACAGAGGAAAAGCGAGCTCTTAAAAAGTTTAATAAACATTTAACCACACAGCACTCGATGACCGGCAAGCGGTCCAAAGCGATTGTTAAGCGTGTCATCCTGAATGCAAAACAGACATCCTGGCGAGAATATGTTTCGAAAGTAGACAGGTTTACCCCAGTGAAATAAATTTGTTCGCGAGTCCAGCGCGTCGCTGGAAAGTTTTCATCCGCGCCTGTTCCACCACTAACCGTTGATGGTTCGGAAGTTGTAGACTCGGTTGACGCGGCGAATGCAATTGCTAAAGCTTTCTCAAAACGATCCCGACGTGGGACACGCGATCTAGAGTTTGCACGGCAAAAACGCAGTGTGAATCCTCTCGTTTCAACTTCTCGTCGAGACAGACTCACCCTTATATCGCATGATTTGCACCGTCCGAAATGCACCATGCCTCGTCCCTGAAGAATGTTTCAGAGTGCCCTGACTGCGTTCACAACTTGATGCTCCGACATTTACCATCGAACAGTCGGAGATCGCTTCTTACCACATTTCATTTAATGTGGACAAACGGCGATTCTCCTGCTTCCTGGAGAGAAGCAATCGTCAACCTCGTCCTGAAACCCAGAAACAGGGAAAATGTCCTCTGGATTATCGTCCAAAGCTTTAACTTCTTGTGTGTGCAAATTGTTCGAAAAATTATAGACTCCCGCCTAATTTCGTAATGAGAGAAACATTCCGTTCTTTCCAAAGTCTAGTGTGGGTTCAGGAAAAATCATTGTACTTTAGACTATGTGGTGCATTTAGATGTGTCAGTACATCGAGCTTTCAAGCAACGGCATCATCTTTTAGCTGTGCTCTTCGAGGTCAAGAAAGCCTGTAACACAACATGGAAATACGGTATTCTAATGAGGCTCTACAGATATGACACTAGAGAACACCTGACATTGTTCTTGTCTAACTTCCGTCGGAAAAGATCCGCCATGTCTGTGTGGACTCGGTTCTGTCTACTCTATACCCGCAAGAAAATGGCGTTCCACAGGGCAGCTTTCTCAGCACTGCACTCTTTGCCATCATGGTTGGAGACATGACTGGAACCCTTCCTCCACTCGTAGGGAGATCACTTTTCGTCCACAGCTTTGCCCTCTGGATTAGCGCACGACTAGCATAGCTTCCGAACGACAGCATCAACTCTGTATGGGAGTAAGATGGAGTGTGCCATGTAATGCAACTGTAAGTGTGCTATGTAATGCAACTATGTAAGATGGAGTGTGCTGAACGGGTTTCAGTTTTATGTATCAATATTTACGTATTTTTTATCAAACAGTACCTGTTCGTTTTTTTGTAGAAAACGTGCTCATTGTTCCGGCTAATATCTTGTGCTATACGGGGAGAGGTACCAGCTAGACAAGAAACCAACTTCCTACTGGCCGTAATCGATAGGAGGCTGTCATATCGCTCACACCTCAAACACGTGGTACCGCTGTTTTAAAGCCTGAAATATCTTAAAGGTTTTGACTCAGACTGATTCGGCTTCGCAGCCAGGGAAGAAACTTTTAGACAGAGCGCGCCACGACGACACCCAAATAACCACAGAAGCATTTTCGTACTAACCCTGCTTCACAGCATATCGGTGGATGCGAACGGGCGCCTTTTGTATTTGCGACGGAAACTACTGTCCGCGCGACATGTAGCAAAGATTGCAATCTCCTTCCCATCCCTCACACTCGAGCATTTCTTCACCACACGTTGTGAACCTTTTCACTTTTTCCCATGAGAAGGCTGCGCTAACCTTCACCATACGTGCCAAGCAGATATTTGAGCGATTGGACATCTCGGTGAATATTGTTGCTATTGGTCCAGAGCAAGGATCTCACCATGGCAACTCCAAACACGCAAATGTAACTTCCACCTTTGCGAATCATCAAAGAAATACGCAACGGCAGAGGAATATCGCGCGGAGTTTCCGTGCCATCTGCATGCAGTGTATGGAGGGTTCCGTCACATATATACTGATGCATCAAAAACTAGCACATGTATAGGATATTGATTCGCACCAGGAACCAAACGAAAATATTTTTAGCTTGTGTAAACATCGCTCCATATTTACCGCAGTTGTTTGCCATCCGCGAGGCTCTGCATTTAGTGCATCTGCGTGACAAATCTATGCACGTAATATTCTCTGACTGAGCTCTCTGGTGACCTTGCAACAAGCACGTCAGCGGCACAAAATCGACGAGGAAATACTATACGCATTGCTTACCATGCAGCAGGACGACAGTCATGTCGTTTTTACTTGGATGCCCCGTCACGTCTAGATAAACGTAAACGAACAGGCTGACTCCCTGGCCAAACAGGGCACTCACGGTCTTGGTTTGACTTGGAAGAAGACACCAGCAGGAGATCTCGAGGACATATTTTATAGTGATCTAAAACCACGATGGTAACGGATTTGGGATTGATTGGGTACTGATATTGCCACATACCACGCATGCAGAATTGCCACGCATGCAGCTACCACATGCTCGATCACGATTTTTGTTACCACAATGTCTACAATCAAGCGAGCGACTCCTCTGAGACTAAAAACGTGCCACACGACGTACTTCATGTCGCTGGAGAAGCTGTAAAACTGCTGCCGCTGAAGTACATGGCGAACCCGGCGCCTGAGGTTCGCCGCCTGGTCCCTGCAGCGCCGCGCCATTCTACAGCATGCATCTACCGCCCGCCCCCGCCGGCAAACTCGCCTGCGTCGCTTCCGGCGTCCGCGGCCGGGCGCCGCGTCACTGCTCGCCGCACTTGATCAGCACCTTGACGGCGCCGCCGGCTCCGGTGCGTGCCGTCTCGAAGGCCTGCACCGACTGCTCCAGCTGGAAGCGGTGAGTGATCAGAGGCTTCACATCCACCAAGCCCGCCTCCACCAGCTGGATCGCCGCCGGGTAGCAGTTGGCGTAGCGAAAGATGCCGCGAATGTCGACCTCGCGCACGGCGGCGTTCACGATCGGCACGGTCACCTCGGCCGGGCCGAGGCCGACCAGCACCATCATGCCGCCGGAGCGCGTGGCGAAGATGCCCAGCCGGATGCTGGCCTCGGCACCGCTGCACTCGATTGTAACGTCCGGTTGCCGGCCGCCGAGCAGCTCCGCCACGCGGCCGGCCAGCGCCTCCGCGTCCTTGCTGTCGACGAGCAGCGTGTGCTGCGCGCCGAGTCGGGCCGCCAGCTCCAGCCTGCCGGCCGAGATGTCGGTGACGACCACCTCTGTGGCGCCCATCGCGCGCGCCACCAGCAGGTTGACGAGCCCAATCGGGCCGGCGCCGCAGACGAGCACGCGCTGTCCGGCCGTGATGCCGGCGCGGCGGCACGCGTGCACGCCCACAGAGAGCGGCTCCATCAGCGCGCCCTCCTCCAGCGACACGCTGGCCGGCAGCCGGTGGCAGAAGTCGGCCGCGTGCTTGTAAAAGCGACACAGGTTGCCGTCATCCGGCGGCGTGGCGCAGAAGAACACGTCCGCGCAGAGGTTGTACGTGCCGCGCTTGCAGTGGTCGCAGCGGCGGCACGGCACGCCTGGCTCGATGGCCACGCGGTCGCCGACCTTTAGCGACGTAACGCCCTCCCCCAGTGCGTGCACGACGCCGCTCGCCTCGTGGCCCAGCACCATCGGCTTGCGCAGCACGAAGTCGCCGATGCGGCCCTTGGTGACGTAGCTGACGTCGGAGCCGCAGATGCCGACGGTGTCCATGGCGACGACGACCTCACCGGCGCCGGCCTGCGGCATCGGCAGCGCCTCCACCCGGACATCATTCTTCTCGTGCAGCACCACGCCCAGGTTGTCGGCCACCATGGTGAAGGGCTGGGCGGAGACTACGGTTGGCTAGGTGGTGCTGCGGACGGACTGAGAGCTGTCAGACATATGGTCAGGGAACTGTATTAGGACTGGGGGAAGGGGGGGGGGGTCACGTCTGACAAAGCAGCCTAACATTAACTCACATTTATCATCTGACTGGCTGACTGTATTTTTCGTGACTTTACGTTCAGATTTGAAATGGTGGTAAAAATATGTGTCATACAAACCAAATCTGTTTTGAATAGATTACATGTTTGGCTCTCTCCAATTTGGGGGGCAACTCCTATGGGAAAAGTGACCACTAAATAAAGAAGGCTTTGGGTTAAGGCTATGGCTGACATTTAAAATAATTTTGCTGAGACCTCTGACCTATGGTGTTGAGATGTTGAGCTGCCTGGAACCTCTCCTAATGGTGCTTTTGGTCCAATCCCAATATCATTTTCACTCAGATTACCTCATATAATTTCTGGTGTTGGCCATAACAATGATTACTGCAAAAATCAAGCTGTTCATAAAATGGTTCGTCCCACCAGTATGAGCTAATATCTTCACAAGAACCAGGAGCAGCTGCTCAAAGACCACTCCCCTCTCCTGCATGGCAATTTAAGTCTGGTCTCCATCCATAATGGGATGAGATGCAAACCTTTGCTTAACTGAGCTTTAAATGAGAACAGATTCAGGAATTAGCTAGTGACTTTTTTAATCAAACCCTGCTGGCCCATTTTGAAAACAATAACATACTATCATATGTGGCTGACCTATTTCAGGTTATTTTGAACTTCACAAGACTTTCTTTCACCACATCTGTGGTACTCAAAACTAAAAACTATATATGCTCATATCCTGAAAGATAGCAGAAAAATTAATGTAAAAATAAAAAAGCAATGTTAATGTCATGTGAGCAAGCTAATATTCTTAAGTGAGCCAAGCAATTAAAACACGTTTTTGATTTATCTACCTCACTTCCCATGAAAGAGGTGCCAGTTGGGTCAGACCTGCACAGAGTCACTGGTGGGTAATAGCAATAATGGTGAAACAGTGTGTCGAATACAGTTTTTTTATTTCCATTCAGGTCAGGTCTTCGACTTAGCTTCAGTAATCTATGGTAAAGATCAGGATGTCTTTAAAAATCTGATTAAACTGAATTGTGAGTCTGGTAGGACTGGTGACTCAGGAGAGACATAAAGCCCAGGTGGGAGGGCACTACCGCATCCAACATTTAAAGAATTGTCTGGTAATATTATTACGTAAGCGTACGTCAGTTACCCCATGGCAGGGCAATATTACACCGGGTACTCCAAAGTTTGGACTAGTAGGTATCGACACATACCAGAAGTATACCAGAATTGGGATTAACACCAGATTTAGGTTGTTGTACCAAAAGTTGGCAGTGCTGTGTCAGCGGCATCTTTGGTTTGTTTGTTGCGATTAAGTGTAATCACATTTCTCAGTCGCAAAACCGTTAGATATGCGCGAAACGCTTGAATTGTGGTGCGGTATTGGGGATGGCGGTCGGAGGATCAGGTTGTGTTCAAGTAATTTCAGATGTCTCTGGGCTCATCAGATGTATGCTGTTCTTTGCCAAGTCACACCATGTCTCAGTTTACATATAATGGCTTATTTAAATATTCTGGAGCAAAGCTGATAATGTAATTATTCATTACAGCACAACTTGTCAGTTATGAATGCTGTGGCCTAGGCTACCGGCTGTTGAATGCTTGTGGAATACTGCATGTGAGGTGATTGGCCAAGATGTGCTCAGGTAGATTTATGTTTGGGCTGAGGGTCTTGTTATTTGTGAATACATGAATGTTGAGACTGTTGTCTGATTGGCATTTGAATATTCCACATAAGCATTGATAGCCTTTGTCCACAGTGGCAATACCACCCATGAAATGGGCCAACCAGTAATTATGTCAGTTCAGCACTGCTGTGTAATTGCATTAGATGTGTTTATTGAGACATGAAAGGCACTGCAATGTAACAGAAATGTTTGGTATGATGCAATGTTGTGCACATACCTGATGACATTTCGCCAAAGGAGTTATCTGCCTGCACTGTTAAGAAAAGGACAGCATGTTGTATTTATATAAAAATGTGCATAACTGGGGCTTAGTTTTGGGGTCTGTTGATTTTATTTCATCTATTTAATCTAAGGTCCATTGATAGTTTGTATTGCCTTGAGCCAAGGCTGCATATGTTTCAGATACTGATGAACCTTCTAAATCTGTCTAAACTCCCCATTTCACTTTGGCTGCCTAGGTGTACCTTTCCTACTCATGGATCAATGGATGCAAGTTAAAGTTATAAATTACAAGGCTTGATGAGGAATAAAAAATTATGTCATATTGAAGTTCCAAATATTTATTTTGCAGGTTTTGCGACGATATATGCATGTGTGTTCATATTTAATCATAATATTGTTGCACTCAATAGTTCTATGGCCAGTCAGTGGCCGTATTCACTCCGTGTTTCATCTGAACTCTGCTGAAAAGAGTTGACGGCAGCGGGATTCGATCTCACGCCTACACATCGTGGTGCGTGCATGGGTCTGCACTTTGCCTGATAGCTCGAAAATGAGTGCCACGGTGCACACTTTTGATCGTGGAAATCGAAAGAGAATTGTTCCAGCTTCATTTCTATGCACTTTTCATGCATACATATGCTCAAGATTTAGAAAGCCGTGGGCCTGAAGAATGTCATTTTAACATGGGAACCCTGTGGCTAGTCGTGAAATGTGCGCCGTTGCTGCCATATGTTATACTAGACTTTGGACCCCCGCCCCATGGGTTTGCATAGCAAGATTATCAAGCAGTTGAAATATCACTTTTAAAGTGACTTTGACATTAATTGACATTTTTTCAGACTTGCAATGAATTTTTTCCAGAAAACATTACCAGAAAACAAAAGAGAAAACATGGCGATAGAAGCTCGATAGCAAGACCATCGAAGTTTAGCATCTCCTATTACAAATTTTGGGGCGAAGCCCCAACCATATAAAGGGCCTAGGCTCCAACTACGCTGAACGGACGTTGTCGTCATGGGGCTTTACGACGCACTCAGCTGCTTGGGCTGTGTGGTGCCGCCTGCCTCTCACTCTGGCAGGGTGGGCGGGCGCTACTGGGAATCGCACCGCGCACCTCTGGCTTCCCAGACGTGCAGTGGTTAACCACCGCGTCATCGGCACCCCACGCTGAACGGATGTAACATGCCATTGGGGCTTTACGATGCACTCAGCTGCTGAGGCCATATGGCGTCGCCTGCCTCTCACCGTGGCAGGAAGGGCGGACACCGCGGGGAATCGAACCCGGTACCTCTGGTTTCCCAGACGTGCAGTGGTTACGCTGAACGGACAGCAAAATCCTACAATCTGTGTATGGAGCGACAGCGTCAGAACTGTCTCTTTTTCCTGTTAAAATTGTTGTCTAACTGCCTTTGGAATAGGTCTGTCCTGTCTGTGTGGGCTCGGCTTTGTCCGCTCCATACACGCCAGAAAATGGCGTTCCACGGAGTAGCGTTCTCAGCTTTGCACTCTTTGCCATCATCGCTCAAGACATAACTGAAACCCTTCCTCCACTCGAGATAATTTTTCATGGACGAATTTGCCCTTTGGATTAGCGCACGGATAGCGCAGCTTCCGAGCAACAGCTTCAACTAGATATGGGAACATTGGAAAGATTGGGTGTGCTGAACGGGTCTCAATTTTCTGCTGCCAAATAGTATCTGTTCATTTTGGCGGAAAACGTGACCATTGTCCCGGTTCATAGCTTGTGTTACACGGGTAAGAAATACTAGTTAGACAAGAAGCCAAGCTCCCACAGGTCGTAATCGACAGCAGGCTGTCATGCCGCCCACACCTCCGGGGTTGCTGCTTCAAAGCCTGACATATTTTAAAGGTTTTGACTCAGATTGACTCGGCTTCGCAGACGGAGAACAAACTTTTAGACAGAGCGCGCCATGACGGCACCCGAATAACCACGGGAGCATTTTCGTACTAACACTGCTTCACAGCATATCGGTGGATGCGAACGAGCGCCTTTTGTATTTGCGACGGAAACTACTGTCCGCGCGACATGTAGCAAAGATTACAATCTCCTTCCCATCCCACATACTCGAGCATTTCTTCACCACGCGTTGTGAACCTTTTCACTTCTTCCCATGCGAAAGCTGCGCTAACCATCACCATACGTGCCAAGCAGATATTTGAGCGATTGGACATCTCGGTGAATATTGTTGCTCTTGGTCCAGAGCAAGGATCTCACCATGGCAACTTCAAACACTCAAGTGTAACTTCCACCTTTGCGAATCATTAAAGAAATGCGCAACGGCAGAGGAATACCGCCCGGAGTTTCTGTGTCATCCGCATGTCGTGTATGGGGGGTTCCGTCACATATATATATATATACTGATGCATCAAAAACTAGCACGTGTATAGGATGTTGATTCGCATCAGGAAACGAACGAAGATGTTTTAACTTGTGTAAAAATCGCTCCATATTTACCGCAGTTGTTTGCCATCCGCGAGGCTCCGCGTTTAGTGCATCTGCGTGACAAATCTATGTACGTAGTATTCTCTGAGCTCTCTGGTGACCTTACAACAAGCACGTCAGCGGCACAAAATCGATGAGGAAATACTATACGCATTGCTTACCATGCAGCAGGACAACAGTCATGTCGTTTTCACTTGGATGCCCCGTCGCGCCCAGATAAACGGAAACGAACAGGCTGACTCCCTGGCCAAACAGGGCACTCACGGCCTTGGCTTGGCTTGGAAGAAGACACCAGCAGGAGATCTCAAGGACGTATTTTGTAGTGATCTAAAAACACGATGGTAACGCATTTGGGATTAATTGGGTACTGATATTGCCCGGAGACCAAGCAAGCTCCGAGCCATTAAAGCGCACATCAGCGAACGGAAATCCTCTTACTTTAAAGACAGAACAGACGGAGTAAAACTGAGCCGGTTGCGCACGGGCCTCACGTACGGAACGCAATCTTACCTGCTTCTTCGGAAGCTCGACC